CCGCCGTTCCCGCGCCCATTCAGGCCACGCCCACCGAGCCCCATTCGTGCCCCGCCCCGCCGTTCCCACGCCTACCCGGCCCCATTCCCGCCCTACCTGTCCCGGTCTGTCTCCAAACCACGCACGGTCCCCTCGCACCCCAGCACTCCCAACACCTTTTCCAGCAACCTGGCATCAGCGTCCTCACCCTGAACTGCGTGTGGGGCCCTAAATTGAGTGCGGGGTCCCTGGGCTCGGTGGGAATCCCTAAACCGGCAGGACGGGCTCCCCGAGCTGTGCGTGGCTGCCTTAGCTGGGTGAGGGTCCTAAAAGCGGTGGGGAGTCCCTCTGTGATTCCTCACATCCCCTGGGACTCTGCAGGGAGCCACTCCTTGGGGCACGGATGCCCTTCCCCATGGCCAGGGAAGATATGGATGAAGCCTCTCCAAACGCCCCCCGTGCCATGGATGCCCATACTGCGGGGTCCTTCCTCCTCTTCATCCTCCTGCTTCCCACCACAGCCCTGCCTGGATTTTCCTGCCGCAAATCAGCTGTGTCATCCCAAAGCCGGCTCGGAAAGCTGGAAAGCCGGGCTCGTACAGCCCTCCAGTGGCAGCTGGCCAGGTGACACCCCCCCCCCCCCCTTACTTCCCTGACCACCCAAAATCCTCCTGCCAGCCTCTGGGATGCAGGAAACACCCAAAATGAGGCGGTTATCCATGGCATCACGCAGGGTCTTTATTCCTCCCACGGGGATTTGGGAAGAGCCAAGGATGGGACTCCCGGGATGTGGCAGCACTTTTTTGGGGGATCAGGTCAGGGGGTCACTGATGTGCCACAGGTTGGTGGGGCGGTTGTTGGTGCTGAAGCCACTGGGACTTGGGATCTGGATGCCCTCCAAGGGTCTCGGTGCCCAGGTGACTGGCGCCCACCAGCCTGGAAAATCCAGGAGGGATTGGTGAGGGGGGTGTCCACTCCTCCTGGGGGCTGCAATCCTCCCCAAACTCACCTGGTGCTATGGGGGCCAGCTGTGAGAGGTTGATCAGGTACTGGTTCTGGATAGTGGTGTATGTCAACGGCTCCTGAGGGATGGAGTGGGTTGGGGGTGCAGTTCCTTGGGAAAAGGGATGGGGCAGACATGGGGACAGCAGGCATGGAGACAGCAGACATGGCTGCACCCACCTTCCTGGTAGTGACTCCCTTGGGTCCCACTTGGAGCTCCGGCGGGGCGAAGGGGGCGGGATAACCCATGGCAGGCTGGTACTGTGTGGGGACACAGGGATGAGATCCTGCTCAGTCCCATGCCCAGGCAGCTCCTGCTGCCTCAGTGCCCACTGGGAGCACCGGGACAGGATGTCCCCTGGCCTTGCCACCCCGTCCCTTTGCTTACAGTGCTGCTGCACATGTCGGGAAATGAATCCATCCAAGCATCATCAACATCATGCTGTGGGAGAGGTAAAGTGTCCCCTGGGGTGCTGAGGGGAACAGGGGACACGGTGGGGACGGCGCTCACGGGCTGCTCTGGGAGGGTGAGGTCACTCCTTGGGGCGGTCCCAGTGAAGCCCGACAGCTCCGTTGCCTTCTGTGGGACATCTGTGAGGAGCAGATGGAGCAGGGATGTCCCATGTCCCCAGGCCTGGCATTACCTGGATACACCTGTCCCACCGCATTTGTGGGGGCGCAGACGGTCTCCAACACTCCCAAGTCCTCCTGAGGTCTGACCTGGCTCCAGGAAAACTGACACCCCAAAATCCCCAGAGCTGGATGTGGCTCTGGGACCATCAATAATCCCAAAACCTTCCTGATGATGGAGCTGGACCTGGAAGCTCCAGGGCCCCAACCCCTCCTGCAGTTGGAGGTTTCCTGGGAATCCTAACACCCCAAAATCCTCACAAGGATGGAGCTTTCCCTGGGATTCCTAAGACCCTAGAATCATACCTGGCTGGGTAGGACTGGCGCAGGGGCTCCAGGTGCTGTTTTCTCTGGATGATTTTGGAGGTCTCACCTCCCCAAAACGGAGGCGGGAAAAGGAGAAGCCAGTGGGATACCGACAGTCTGGCTCATCCACGCACAGGGGCAAGATCCTTTGGAAATCCGGACGCCCAAAGACCTTGAAGTCCTCAAAGGTGGTGGACACGTCGGTGTCCTGCCTGTGGTGGGAACGGCTGTGACGGAGCAATCCCAAAATGTGCCCCCCAAACTCCAGGAGCAGGGACCTACCGCTCCACGTGCGGGGTGATCAGGGACCAGAGCGCCGAGTAGTTGTTGGTGACGTATCCCGAGCCGGTGTGGACACCAAGGAGGGGGTGTATGCTCCTTTCACAGGGGGGCTCAAACCCCAAAACATGCCACCCCTCGATCTTTCGGGGTGACCCCGTGGGCCTCTTCCCAAAGGCCGCCTCGTAGGTGGTGGTATAAAAGCCTATGAGCTCGGAGTGGGGGCCCCTCACCACAGGGAACCCCGTCCCCAACCCCGCGGCGGGCGAGTCCTGCAGCAGGGATGGCATCCTGGCCCTGGGAATGGCCCCCTGGTGCCGGGAACAGCCCGAGGTACGGCCCTACACCATGGCTGGAGGTGCGGGGCCTTCCCAGCAGGCCCGGAAGCTGTGGAATGTACCCATGGAATGCGACTCTGTCTCCAGGTAACCGAGAAAAGGGGAAGCTCCCGGGAGGCTGTCACTGGAGGGCACCGGGAATGTTCTGCTCCAGCACCACTACAGCCCCCGCCCCGGGGTGGGGTCGCCTCCTGGGGGTCCTGGGAAAAGGGACAGGTGGGAATTGGGAATATCAGTGAGGTGGGGTGTGCCAGATCGAGCTGGGCATGTCCCCGAGGGCCCGACCCCGATGTCACAAAGCAGGAGAGGGGCAGGGCCAGCAGCCAGGCAGGGCCGGTAGCCACGGCTTTATTCAGCGTTCCGTGAGTGTCCAAAGGCTGCTGGAAGAGGAGGAAAACCACAGGGAAGGCGGAAGCACCAGTCCAGAGCCCCGTGTCCCTGCGCTGCTCCAGGGAATGGGGAGAGAGGAGTCTCCTCCCTCAGCGTGGTGGCTCAAACAGATATTCCAGGTCCGGCTGCCGGAGCCTCTGCTCCCTGTTCCTGTTTTTGGCAAATTCCCTCAGCATGGCCATCACGTCGGTCTCAAATTCCGCCGGCGTCGGCTTCGCTTCTGAGAGGAAAACAGGGAGAAATCAGCTCAGTGCTGTCCCAAAGTGCCATCCCGGTGTCCCAGGGCGTGGCCACACGTACCAGTGGCCCAGTAATAAATGTCCCAGTCGTTACTGGGCTCATTGATGAGGCGGTCGTAGCGGTTCAGCTGCTCCTCGCTCATGCGCGCCAGGTTTTCCTTGGCAAAGAGGCTGGAGAGGGATGGATCAGGATGAGCGGGAGATGAAGGAAGAGCTGGGATATGAGAGCCAGATCCTGGAAAACACGGACCCCCAGCCTGCTCTCCTTCACCTCAGCGGGTGGGAAAATACCAGCACAGCATTCCCAGAGAAGCTGTGGAATCTCCACCCCTGGAATCCCCTTATCCAGGCTGGATTAGGGCTTGGAGCAACCTGGTCTGGTGGAAGGTATCCTTGTCCACGGCAGGGGGTGAAACTGGATGATCCTTAAGTCCCATCCATCCTAAACCATTCCAGGATTCCATGTGCTGGTTCACATGAGATACTGGGCAGAGACTCCTGAGAGAGTGGAATGGATTTCCCAGAGAAGCTGTGGCTGCCACATCCCTGGAATTGTCCAAGCCAGGCTGGATTGGGCTTGGAGCAACCTGGGGTAGTGAAAGGTGTCCTTAAGGTCCCTTCCCACCCAAACCATTCCAGAATTCCACCATTCTATGTCTCTAGTCTCTCCTTCAATCCCAAAACCCAACTGGCCTTGTGTTCACACATGTCCCAGGATTTACATACATTCTTCCCAATGGATTTTGGCTCACTGAGCTCTCCCAGATCTATTCCATCATTGGACCCTAGACCAGCAAGATCTTGGAGTAACCTATCCCACGGATTTTTGCGCTACTTCACTAAACTCTTCCCTGTTAATGGAAGGACCTGGAATACTTGGAGCCAAGCCCACCTGAGCAGGATGCAGTTTTCCAGCATCCCTCTCTTCCTGCTCTCGTACAGCAGCCGGGCTCTCTTGGTGTCCAGCGGCTCGTCCGGACGCTCCTGCCAGGGGGGCAGCGGGATCTCCAGCACGTCCTTCCCAGAATCCGTGGGGGAATCGCCCCGGTAGCCGCGCTGCGGGATCAGTGGCCACAGGAGATGCCGGCGCAGCGAGCAGAGCTGGAGGGAACAGGGAGAGCACTGAGATGTCAGGCCTGGGACTGCCTACACACAGAGAACTTCCCAGATCCTGCTGGATACGATTCCCAATTCCACCCCCATCAAACCCTGCTGCCCACATCCCATAAATCTCCCAGACCTCCCTTCTCCCACCAAAACGCTCTTCTGCCTGTTCAGACTTTCCTCCTTTTTCTCCCCTTTTCCCCGCAATTCGCCAATTTTCCTCCCATTCTGCCTTTCCCCAAAACTCATCCTTTTTCCCTCCTTTTCCTTTCTCTTTCTCCCCTTTCTTCCTTTTTCCCCCTTCCTACTTCTTTTCCCCCTTCCCCTTTCACCCCTTTTTACCGTTTTCCTCCCATTTTAACCTGTTTTTTCCGCTCTCCCGCCTTTCTCTCCCCATTTACCCCTTTCCCTCCCCTTTGCCCTCCCAGTTTTCCCCCCTTCCCCCCCCA